TATTAGCTTTGTAAGCTACTCTGAAATTCGAGGTTAAATAAAGTTTATGTATGTATGTATGTACGTGACCGTTAACTGCAAGGGGCCTATAGCCAAATCCAATAGAAAATTCAACAAAATTTGCTTCTATCGAAACAGTTTAATCTAGAATGGCCTGGTTTTCAGATATAATATGTGTTAATATGTATTAAAAAATATTCTGAACTTTTGCTGGCTATTCCACTTCTTTTCGTTGATTGATGCGGGTTTTAGAACAATTTTCGGTGAATTTGCGTTGATTTGACTCCGTCCGACGACCATGATCCTTTGCGTTTAAATAATAGATTGTTTTGATGTGACGTCATAGTGAAATAGGGCAATTGCATTATATATTTATACTGTAGTAGTTCAGTCGAGGAAATAAGGGTGCGTGACACTTCGTATCATCTGTCTAAAGTTATCTGTTACTCTGCAGGTCAACATGGTTTCACTTCATAGTCGAATATAATATTTTCTACTCTATCAGCTTTCTATCTTGTCTCACAGTATCTAGCCATGCATATCTTTGAAGATTTAAAAACGATCCTATATCGAGGGAAATTCAAGTAAAAAATCTACAGAGCATTCTACGGTAGCAAAGAATTAAAATATTGTGACTAGTAGTATTATTCATATGTTAATCGTAGACATCGTACGGGTATTTTGTCTCAACCATTCATTGCAGCCCTTTTAGCATTGCACTAAGTACTTCTTAAGAGTTTAATAATCACTGAAATGTTACCACACTCACCAAAACTGTTTGATAAACCGGGAATAAATTATTCCCGATCCGGAGCGAAGACGACTCAGTTCGAGCAATGACAAGTAAAAGTTACCCGGTATCAACTGCGGTTCCCTATAACGACTCTAAAAATTTCCAGGAAGGAATTTCTAACTATACGCCGAATGCAATAATGGCCGCCGACGCGCGGGTCGTGGGTCAAGCTTCGCGAAAACGAGACTAGTCAGTCCTCGATCGAATGAGTTTCCCCCCGAATCTTTGTAAACATGGCTAGCACTTCAACAATACAACTCTGTGAAGACGATATTCTTGGGGCATCTCTTGAAGGAAGAACCCCAACTTCTTTAAAAAATGAAGAATTGCGTTTTTGGTTGAAATGCCGAAGAGATTCTCTTAAAGGATTGAAAACAAAAACACAACTTGTAGAAAGGTAGGTTAATCTCACGCCGGTACTTCGCATTAAGTCGTGGAGATCTTTTCGTCCACTTAGCGATTTTTTTAGGTCGTTGATCTTGAAATGAAGAGAGCTTACCTTCGTACGCTCGTTCAGGTTGAAGTCTTTCTCTTACGAAGGTCTTTATCCTTTGAGAAATTGAACTGAATTTCCTTCCTTTATTTTGTATCGATTCTGTGATCACTTTGGAACACAGCAAAACGACGGCATTTTCTTGACTCTTATAATAAACAACTGTGGAAGCAGCAATGGCGGACTGACTAGCCTCGTTTTCGCATACCGCTTCGACCCACGCCTCGCGCGCCAGCGGCCATTATTGCATTCGGTGTATGCTGCTGTACTTTTGGAGTATTTACTAAGGTTTTGACAAGTTTTATCCACAGCCAATGAGATAATATTTGATCGGGTCGGAACCCCTTCAGTCACCTCACTTGCTTTACTAGGTTGTGTTCGCTTCAATATACCAGTAAAGTAGGCTACGAATCCCGATGAGAACTGGAAATGGAATATTTAGATAATGAACTTCCTCATAGAAGCCCAAGAAAGCAGTTAAAAGTCTAAAGACTTCTAAAAAACCCAAAGACACGCAAGGAAGTTTTCAGTATCCCATACATTTCTTTGTAAATCAAGAAGAACGTGTTGCTATTATGACGTCACTAGCCCAGTCCCCCATGTCGGTCGGTCATATTTTGGAGTCTTCCTATTTTCGCACTTTTGACCGCTCGAAAAAATAGAAAGAAGCGTCAAAAACAAACATTTCTTTCTTAGAATAGCTTATATTTCGATATAAAAAAGTAAAAAAATAAGGGTCATAGGCACTTTAAAGGAGGTCTAACGACCATTTAATTCATGTTTATTCATCAGAGACTAATGTAACAATCAATAAAACACGGGTAGACAGATCCAAGTGAGTAATTAGCGATTTATTCGATCTACTAACAAGCATTTTCCCCGACACAAACCAAATATTCTCCTACAGCCCATGGATCTCTCGAAGATTTGTAGTAAATTTCCTAGCAAAATTATCCGAAGCTCGACTAGATAGTCTCGTTTTGATGCTACGTTCATCACGACATCGCCGGTTTGTTTGGGTGGCGTGCTCAACTACGATAACAGCTATTCAGATGGGAGCTAAATATTGCTAGATAATCATATTAAATACGATTGTAATTTACGATAAAGAATGTATGAATATCATGAGACAGTAAGAAGCAAGACTTTTAAGACGTTTAGCTTTATAGTTATTCTAGGTAACCTCTACCATTCTTTTGTAAATGTACTTATATCTATATTTTCTCTATTGTAATGTATGGTATAAATAAAGCACATTGTATTGTATTGTATTGTATAGACTACGAGGATTATAGACGATAAACGTTTGACAGGAGAAGGAAACAGGACTTGCGTCCCAATTGACATCCTTCCCCTATTGTAACAGTAAAAAAATAATACCAAGAAATTATTTTGGAGCAATAATCAAATGCATTACGGAAAATACTGAATTTGAATTTAACTGGATATTGAAATAACCACCAGATACTTTAACGATCGATAAGAAATAAATTGATTTATAGTACGTCACTGAGGTGGCTTATAAGAGGGTAGTTTCTGATAATAGTAGTTGAGAATATACTGTCTAAATTTTATCAGCTACAACGGCGTTGAACTTCATGGAACAACAACAACAGCACGACTTTATCGTACCACTCTTAACCAGAATTTACAGTATGTGTTGTTATATATACGAAATTGATAATTTGATAAATCTAAATAATATGTAAACACAGTTGTTAATCATATTTTTACTAAAGCAGGTATATGAAAGGACCGTACAGGTTGTCTGTAATAACCACAAGGAACGTGTCGAGAGGACAAATTATCTGCAAAACTAGTGCTTCACGGCTTTGAATACAATTCACAAATTTCCACATATCGGTTTACTGGTCAAATACAAAGCATTCAGTCGAAGCTAGAAGATTCAAATTTGAATAATCCTCTGAGAGTACTTCGAAGCCTCGCTTCAGTGCATTGTGTTTGACCAGTGAATCGATGTACAGAAAGTGGTGAATAGAGCAGACGCTGAGATATTTCCTCAATATTTCCTTAGTGTGCACATGCATGTTAAAATTTTCACACCCGCTCGTGTGAACATGTTTTAATTGTATCGCTGTTACATGTCTCTGGAACACGCTTCCGCTCTAGATTCCTAAGTGTGTGCATAGGAGATTTTGTTGCTGCTAAATGTTGTTGAAACAAATTCTTTACTACATTTCCGCGAGTTGTGTGCATGTCGTAAATGTGTCGAGGCTAACTGTGTGCATGTTGTAATTATGCTGCCGCTACATGTCTCTGCTACATATCCACTCGTGTGTAAAGAACGTGATTTTGCTGCTGTTACATATTTTCTGGGCCATTTCCCTGCTACATTACCCCTAGTGTGTAGCCAGCCACCTTAAGATCCTACTTTTACTAGTCTAAGAGGTTCCCTTTTTTTACATTGCGTAATGTTTTCCCATTTCAGACCAAGTATCAATCTCTTTAGAATAAGATACTTTGTTTTAAGTTGTATTCATATTCATGTGCTTTCTCATGCGGACCGTTAAATAAAATATTCTAGGGAATGACATTTTGCTTTCTTTTTTCTTATAGGAGTAAAATGAGCCTTGTAGAGCGCAGTCATTATACCAGTGCAACAAAATCAAAAAAGTATTATCTGTTTTTATATATAGACAAATAGTATATACTTATTTCAATAAAGTTAGTCACCAAAAACCTAGAAAGCTGTGATCGCTGAGAATCATGGGGGAATGTTTTATATCCAACAAGTAAAGCTTTTGACAAAAACTGCAGCAGTTGAGGATGCTCAGGGGAGGTTAACTTGTAACTGGTAGAAGATCTCAAGTCCATCAACAGTTATCAAGCGGTTGAAACATGTAAAAGGTATCTACCCATAATCCTTGTCGGTCTCAGTTTGTAGCTTTTCAGGTGACTAACTTTATTGAAATAAGTGTATATCACTAAACCATAATATTATCATGTTATTGCATGCATGGAGGTATTGGGCCAGCAACTGATACTTTCATCACTTTATTTTCACGGATAACTTATAATCAAGGTTTATTCAGGTGTGATTAAATGTGTGAATTCCGAATCAGCATATTGTTGTTGTTTTTCATTTATTTACTATGTTTGCGTTTAGCCGATATTTTGGTAGTGTTAAGTTCTAATTAATTTGATTTTGTGGCAAGGGTATAATAACTAAGGCCTAGGACAAACGTCGAGCTTTCCATGCACCGAACTCATTAAAAACAATGGATATCAGGTGATAATGAGGCGACATTCTTTGATGTAATTAAGTTCGGTGCATGGAAAGTTCGACGTTTGCCCTAGGCCTAACTATGCTCTAAAATGAGACAGACATGTAAAAACTACAGATAGTAAATACCTTTTGTTGCATCAATGTTGGTGGGTGATAGTTTGACAGCCTCTCTGTAGTGTATTAAAGCCTCTTGATGCTTGCCGAGGGCTTGGAGAAGAGAGGCTAAATGGGACATAAGTAAATAACTATTTGAAACAATAAAATGCCATATACGAGCAATTCGCAAAACTATCAGAAATCTTTAAAGATCGCTTAGCATCCAAACGTAGTGGGAAACCAGCATGAATAAGCCTTTTCATAGTTTAAGAATCGATTCCACTGGGCATGCGATTTTTATCCCGAATTTCTCAACTTCTTTTGTCTAAGCCTTCTTTTGTTCTTAATTAACCCGCATAAAATCGCATGCGCAGTGGAATCGATTCTTAAACTATGAAAAGGCTTATTTGAAACGGCTCGGGTGGTGGGGAGAAAAAGCAACTGGGAACAAAGTTTATTTATACCGGCTCGATATTCTGAACTAGTTAAGAACTCAGGAAATGACCATATTCAGATTCCAATCATTTATAAAACGCTTGTAAATTCTAGAATATCGCGCGCTCAAAACTAGATTCAAAATACGCGTCTTTACATCTACACTGAAGAAGGTCTACGATCGGACCGATACCACTGTGCAATTTGTCTAGAAAAATAAGCCACAGTCAACAAATATTATTAAAATCATCATGAATCCTAGCTACAACTATCACATCAACGAATTACGAAACAGCTATGAAAAAGACGTTAAAATCGGCAGAACTTACCAACGAAAACAACTCGCGATAACAAGACAAAAGATTCTCGCGTAAATAACAGCGGGTAAACTTCTTTAAAATATCGCGCGGGCCATGAGAATAGACGATTTCCGAAATGCCCGAGTGCTGTCAAAAGTATCGAATGCTCAGATTCAAAAACGAGGCATTTTCGGGCAAGACTATTACGTGCGCTATGGAAAACACATTCAAAACTTCAAAAATTATGTTAACGAAGAAATTATTTTGAAGTTTCTTTTGATTGGGAAATGAGAAAATAACGTTTTGAAAAAATACGGCTCACTTGAGACGAAAGATTAATTTTTTCAAGGGTTTTAGAAATCGCCTTTAACTTTATGGATTCTAGTGGCTTTTTCTTATCACTCTTCCCGAAAATGCCTCGTTTCAATGCCTTCGCTTGCGATATTTATGACAGCGCTCACGCATCTCGAAAATCGTCTATTACCACAGAGAGCCCAATTTAGATAAAAATGAATTGTGGAAATAAAATCAGAAAAACTAAATAATTAATTCTTTTAAAATTCGAGGTCAGGATAATGTCCTCCGTAATAGGAAAGAATAAAAAAGTCGATAAAAATGCACTAGAACATTTTTTTCGCGCGCGCGTTTGTTTTCCTATATAATTCCTCTACGGTATCTAATGTCGATCTTATGTATACATAAATTTAAATTGGGCTGCCTGTGCTCTTACCAGTTGGGCTATTTTCAAAAATAGATGGAGCATAAATGTCGCCTTACCCTACTCCCATGCGTCAACTAGCGCGCGCTGTTTCCGTTTATTGCTTTGCTCACAAATTGGATCGGCTACGCCTCGTGAACCCACACTACTTTGACAATGTGATGACGCAATTTATTGTCAATAAGAGGACAGACACATAAAAATCTGATGTCAATTTGTTATTTTACAATAACAAAAACGATAAAAACTTCTCATTTTTAGCGATCAAAACAACCAACGGAAAGAGCGCGCGCTCGTTGACGTCAGCTTTATCTGTCTGTCCTCTTATTGATGATAAAAAATAACCAATCAGCGCGCGAGGAATTTGTAAGTTATTGTAAAAAATCTTCTTGATTTCCCCTGTCGCGAGCGATATTTGAGAAGTTTCCCTCTCTTACTTTATGTTCTCTTGTGAGCCCGCAATATCTTATGAGGAAAGACTGTAGATATGTCATTAACACAGAGAGTCCAGTTTCTGTTGCATTTTCTTTTACTAAAAATTAAGGAAGTAGGCCCAAAGTAAAATTTGAGATGCAGAGTTCATCAGGGTCGAATGTGTTACTTGTGCTCCAAGTGCAAAAAGGATTATATGTTGATAATGCTCATAAATTTCGTTTATGCTTTCTAAGAAGAACGTTTTATTAACAGCTTTCTGAAATTGTTTTAGCCGAGATTTGTTTTAGATTTTATAATCATAGTAAGTTGTTTTCGTTAGGTATAAATCCCTAACTAGAATGATCTTTTCTACGTACGCCAAAACGACAAATAAATATTCAGTGGAAACTGGTTTCGTTTAATTCARCCTCTTCAGTCCACTGTATTATAATCCGTTAGGAAAATTAAAATCACGCGAACAAACACTAATGGGCGCGCGCTCTAATCAAATTAATTGATTGCGCGCGGAATGTTGATAAAGTTCCATTTGTTCTTAGTGTTCATTTTTTTTAATTTTTTAATTTTTTTGGTCGTTCTCTGTTAATCTTGACCGCTTCGCTCACTTGTCTGAGTAGTGCATCTCTCTGAAACAATTCTGTTAAATTGCACGTGTAGTTTGGTATAGTTTCCTGGATGTTTCTCTTTCATCGAGAAAGCTGGTACAAGTATGAAGAGAATATTGCAACGATCAGATCCGTTCAAGGAGAAGAAGTGTAGCAGAGAAGATTGCATTGTATGCCAAACGGGAGGGAAAGGTCCCTATAAAGCTCCAGTCGTGTTTTATCAGAGAACAGAACATAGCTAAGCCTGATCTATTCGCTTTATATAATAGATTTTTACGAGAAAAACAGCGTAAAAATTAAAAAAAGGTTAGCAAAAAAAACGCACGTCTGTCGTCAAAATCACGTAAATAAATTTGATCTATGCGATGATTGTTTCTATGAAAGTAGGAGATAAAACAACGCATACCTTTAAATGCTACACTGGGGTAAAACAAGGTTGCATGCTATCCCCTACCTTGTTTAACATATTTTTGCATGATCTACCAGAAGTATTTGACGACGAAGAGTCAGATCTTACTGAAGTTAATAACTCATTAGTTAAATGTCTTCTTATGCAGACGATCTAGTTTTGCTATCAAGAACGCAAAAAGGACTTCAACATCAATTAAAGAAATTGAAACACTTCTGTAATATTTTGCAAATAGCTGTAAATCTTGATAAAACAAAAATTATCGTCTTCAATAATAATGGCAAACGGATGAATAATTATAAATTCTACTTCTATAGCAAAAGACTTGAGAACGTGAAAATATATAAATATCTTGGTTTGTTTTTCTCCTCTATAGAAGAACTTAAGAAAATAGCTCTCAAAGCCTTGTTTAAGCTCCGTAAGGATATGGGTGATCACTTCAGAACAGATACAGATATGAAAATACGACTTTTCAGTAGCTTAATCAAGCCAATCTTCAAGCGAGCGAGGTCTGGGATGTGAAAACAAAGAAAAATCTAAATCTAGATCCACTAGAAAACGTGCAAATAGAATTTGGTAAAATGCTTTTAGGAGTAAGYAAAAAAGCGTCCAATAACGCATGCCCGGGCATCGGCCTACGGCTCGTGTTTGCACTGATCTGCTCTCGAATTCTCCCATTCACATCTCGGTTTGCATTAGCGTGTGCAAACACAGTAAATGTATTTTATTTGTTAATGAAAGAGTGTGTCAGATATGCAAACTTGAAGTAGAGAGTGAATTACATTTCCTACTAACATGCCCAAATTACTACAGCCATTTGCAAAAATTATGGCCGTTTCAAATATAAATACAAGTATATCGAAAGTATATCAGACAGGGCGGGATATCTTTCTTTCTTTCAATTAGCACAAGCTAATTGCGACAGATAAACTGATTGAAGCAATTAGCTGAAAATTTGAAAATTTACGTTTTTTAGGTCAGGCCACA